AATTGTTAATGAACAAAAGTAATTCATCCTCCAGTTTTATGTTCAGTTCATTTAGACAGTTAAATTGACAACGCCTCGCTCGTCTATGCTTTCTCTTGTACCTAGTTCCCATGTTAGAACATAGCTGTTATCGAGCCGGTCATTCAAGAACTGAGAAATCGGGGCTGGAGAGATGACTCAGTGGTTAAGAGCACTAAACACTAGCTGCTCTTCAGGGGTCCTGAGTTCAATTCCCAGCACCCACATGGCAGCCAACAACTGTCTGTAATTCTAAGATCTGACACCCTAACACAGACATACATGCAGGGAAAACACCAATGTATATAAAAGAATAATAAATAAATTTAAAAAAAAGAGTCTCATGCTAAAAAAAAAAACTAAGAAATCTGGGTTCCTCTTGTTGCTTCCTTCAAAGTGTATCTTTTATGGTGTTATTTATTAACAACAACAACAAACAATTGTAAACTGATACTGTAGTTCTTTTTGTACTTCTCAAACTGAAAATCAGGGTAGGTAAATCTTTATCTGGACAGTAGGAATGAGTGTGAGGAGCAAATGATGTTCCTAGCCCAGATAGCATCTGTCTTGGGTTCCCCAGAGAGCCCTTCTGCATTGTATCCAGCCAGCGTGGTCACACCTGCACATACCCGAGAAACTTCACTGGGTGCTTCTGTTGCTGCTCCTGAAGGGAACCCCCACTCCATCCCCACCCGAGACAGGGTTTCCCTGTGTAGCCCTGGCTGTCCTGGAACTCACTCTATAGACTAAGCTGGTCTCGAACTCACAGAGATCCACCTGCCTCTGCCTCTCAAGTGCTGGGATCAAGGGTAACAGCACTCAGCACATTCCAGCCACAGTGCTGTCTCTACATTCTGCAGTCTATAAAGAACAGAGCATATAAACTTGCCAACCTCCTGTTACAGATTGCTTGATTTGGCTTTTAAAGACTGGGATTGGTCATTTGATGATGTTGATGGTGATGATGATGACGATGTTTTTGATTTCTGAAGAAATAAATGGGTAAATCAAAAAATGAATGAGTTTTTAGTTCTTCCATGTAGTGCATGTGGTTTGCACTTGGACTTTCTTTTCTCTTTTTTGGACTAGTTTTGAAATTTTATAATGTTTTTAATAGGACGTGTTTAAAGAGTAGTTTTCAGAATACTTCTAACTAGAATTTCCGTGGCAAATGTAAAAGTAAAATGCTATGTTCAGATTCTTTATTGGCTATCAATTTTAAGTGTTGTTGAAATTAAAATATTTTATCTTAGAAATTAAACATGTAGAAGTAAGAAAAGGAAAAAACTCTGGTACTTTTGATCCATTCCAGAGAAGCTGTATACAGAGAATTAAAACTTAAGCGTTTTCAGTCTCAGACTAGTTTGTGAACATAGCATGGATTTCTTTCTCCCTCTATTCTTTGTCCTTCCTTCTTTCTAACTTGCAAGAATTAAAGCCATAAAAACTTTATAAATCTATTAAGTTAAGTGAAGTATCTTTCTGATTTGTTTCTGTGATGCGGTGAAATTTTGCAATAATTTAATGCTACCCTTGCTAGAAAGAATATGAGTGACATGCTATGAACAGTTCTGTGCTTTTAAGAAATGTAAAGCCAGGCTTTGTGGCATACTTGTAATCCCAGGACTTGAGAGGTGGAAGGCATAGAGAAATGGAGAGTTCAAGGTCATCTTCCAGCTCCATAGTGAATTTGAGGCTAGTCTAGGCTACATGAGACCTTTTCATTGCAACATGCAAGGCTACAGTTCCCACTCAACAGGCTGAGACAAGGCTTGTGAGGTCCATACCAGTGCAGACTGGGTAGTGAGACCCCTGCCTCAGAGGACAGAAAAGAGTGTAGTATGGTTTGCTTAGTAACAAGATTGAATGACAGTTAAGCCTCACAACTTTAAATCTTCATGGAGACACTTAAGTAATCTGTATCAACTGAGCATGTTGTGACATCGTGCACTTGTATCATGTGACACCGTGACCTCTATACAGGCTGTGACTGTCTTTACATATATATATGTGCGCTACAACGTGTTTATTTCTCTTTTAGTGTCTTTGTCTTGTTTTATGGTAAGGGAGGATGGAACCCAGGGCCTTGAGCTATACTCTAGTGGCTAGAGTCTAGTCTTTTATTCCTATTTTATAGATATGAAAAACGTGGCTTGAGGTCCTATGGCTACATAAAGCCTGGCCACTAATCCTGCTGTTTTGGCTACATAAGGCAGCTAGTAGATTAGTGCTCAAGAAAGCCCCTGTAGCCCAGTGGTTCTCAACCTTCTCATGATGCAGCCCTTAATATAGTTCCTCATGCTGTGGTGACCCCAACCATAAAGTTCTTTTCCTGGCTACTTCATAACTGTAGTTTTGCTACTGTTATGAATAGTAATGTAAATATTTTTGGAGATAGAGGTTTACCAAAGGGGTCATTACCCACAGGTTGAGAACCACTGCTTTACCACATCATTTAACCCTAATATAGCTGATTAACTGCGTTAAATGTTTTTGGCCAGTCTGGGACTTAGAAAGTCCATTGTTGTATTTAGAAAGAATGTAATTGCATGTACCTAAAACTAAGAAAAGTAATACAATTGAGTATGTTAATGCATGAACTGAGTGCTAGAAATACAGAGGAAATGTAGTTTAATGATAAAAGTAAGTAAAATGCTTTTTCAGGGAATATAACAGTCTCTTACTTGACTGTATCGACTAACATTATTCTCCTTCCTTTTTAGCTAACTGCCTTCTGTGAAAGCAGTTATTCTTCAGCCACAAGACTGAAATATGATGTTTCAAAACTTAACTAAAAAGCTGTATTCTACTGAGAGACTGATACACATACACACACACACGTTTCCTTTCCCCTGAAATAATTTTAAATCATGGAGAATTTTTCTGGGCTGCTTTGAAACAAGTTGGACAGCGGTGATCGGTGAGTAAAGGTGTCGTACGACTCTTCAAGACTTCCTTCCTAGAGCCCTTGGCGGTCACACTACATTGACCAGAAGGACTGAGAAGAGTTTAAAGAGATCACATTTGGGTTTCAACAGTGGGTTTCTACCTGCACATTAGCCAGAAGAACGGGGAGTGGGTTCCACTGCAGTGATGCTGACTACATCTTTAAAAGTGACCATGATGTTGTATCCATGTATGTCTGTACATAGGAGTTGAGCCTCATATATATACACACACACCACACATAAGAACACAGTGTACTGTAATACTGCAAGAAGGTATTTTTAACTTACCGTTTTATTTTTATACACATGAATCAGATATCATTACTTCAGTTGCAACTATGCACTTGTATAAAGCCATGTGTTGGCGCTTATATCCTTCATTCATGTACCTGATAGGAGATGCATGTTTGTGTAAACAGGAACTGTAACAAGAAGTTTGCAGTTAATTATTCCAGTTCCCAATGCTTGTGGTAGACAACTTTACCCATTTTGAATGCCTTAATTTAATTTTCTTTCCCCCCAAATCTCAACCCTTTTCTGTATTTAAGAAGAGAAAGAGCAAGTGTTTACCAGCTCTTAGGATGCAGCTCGCTTTGTGGGAAAGTAGTGTGCTCTTGACCTGCAGCATGGGTCAGTGATAGCCTGTCTGGTGTAGGACGGCTGTAATGTATTGGTCCATCGAACAGTAACGATTGTATTGAAGCCAGTGTGTGTGATGGACATCTGTTAGTTTTTCAGCCCTTTTTACAGACGTCAGCTGGTCTGTAACTACAAAACGTTTCCTTTGCTTTGAACTTGCTGGTTACCCTAGGTGTGTTTTTATTTATGATAAAGGCAATTTTTCACATTTTTCATTCAAGATTAAAAAATTGTCTCAAATATAAAGAAAACTAACGTACTGTAGATATATTTTAATATTTAAATGTGATCCTGAAACAAACAACTGTATGGTGGTATATCAGCTTTGATATCTGGGAAGAGGCAGCCTCAAAAGCGCTTACTTTGATTCTCATTGTTAAATGCTGCCGAGGTTAGAGAATGGGCGGGACCTATCCTGTCATGCTTCGGCCTGGGTAAGTGTGTTCTACCCCACAGTGGAGTGCAGCAGTGGGCAGCATCAGGCTCTGTACATATGCAAAGTTTAATATGATGCTGAAGTGTTTGCCTAGTATTTCAGTGAAGCCAGGAGACGTTTTTCATTGCTTCCCTCTGGGGTCAGTGTAGAGATGTTGTACAAAGTTTGATCCTCATTAGAGATTCTATTGTGGAAATAGTGGCCTTTGGCCTACTGGTATACTAAGTCCCAATCCTATGACCTTCAGATGGCCTGGCTGCATCTTTCATTTCGTCTGTTAAGACTAGATGTGCATGCCATTTCCCTGGAAGCAGCTGTGCTGTGTAGCTCTGCTTCAGAACACAGCTTGCTTCCTTCCTTCCTTCCCTCCCTCCTTCCTTCCTTCAGATTTAAAAATGAAAATATATAAAATTTATATAGAAGAACTATTTCCATTCATTAGAGTTGTTTAAAAGGAGACTGAATTAATATTTTATATAAAGATTTTGTTACACTATGGAAGGTTCTATCCTATTCTGAATTGGAGAGTATATATATATATATATTTTTAATAAATTTTATTAAGGTGAAATAATGTCAAGTTTACACATGAATAATTGAAGTATTTGAGTAAAAAAGGCAAAAGTTTAAATTTTGGATGCTGTGCGTGTATATATGTATTAGAGTTTGGAGAATCATGGTGTGTTGCAACTGTACGAGGCAACTAATGTGAAGGATTCAGGGGAATAAAACATTCTGAGGGGTGAAAAATCTCTCATGGAGCTTCTTCACATACGGTTTAACAGGGATTTATAAGGTCATTTGTCCAACTAACAGAATTTCGAGTAGAAAACTGTGACCTTAGGGAAGTATTTGCTTCTCCCGTCATCTGCTTGTCCGTGATGCACACACCTGCCGTCACTTCCCACCCAGCAGTCGTCACAAGAGCAACCTGATCTGCGCCAGTTTCACCTTTTCTCACCCCCAACCTTCCGAGAAATGATTATCAGAGCAAATGTTGCTTCCTTTATTCAGTTTGTCCCAGAGCCATAAATACCTCCAATTGGGACCTAAAAGAAAGGAATGCCGGGTTTCCTTAGTTGGATACTTTTGCTTTGTGGAAATAAAAAAGACAGAAGTAAAAGAAAAACTAAGTTCCGGTATTCTGATGAAAGTTAATGTAAAATTAACTTTTAAGTGTTGCTTTTAGAAAAGCAAGATTTAAAAAAAGTTGAGTTGAAAGTTTCACATGCCCTAGCTAGCTAAAGGATAAGTGAGCTAGTAATCCCCAGGAAAGGCTGGTGTTTCTGGCCAGCCTTTGAGAGGCCATGGACCCTAGAGGAGGCTTTGCATCAGCTCCTGTGTAGATCTACAGTGCTCATGTCCATGCTGCTGCTGTCAGTCTGTTAGGGTTCCCAGGGTGACGTGGAGAAACCCAGACACTAATTAACCTTACAGAGGCGCTTTGAGCAGCATGCTGAAACCCCAAGTAGAGCAAGTAGCTTCCGAGCTTCTCAGGCCCTTTGACTGCTACTGATTCTCCTGTCCCGCCTGAAGGTGGCTTCAGCTCCCCTGGCTGTGGAGGTGCCACAGCCACATTAAAGCACTTTGACAGCACTGTGTGACAGTGTTGAGGGTTGTGCCCTGGGGCCTCGCCTTGTTCCCTCCCTTGTGGTGACTTTTGTTTGGAAACGTAATAAGTTATAAACTGCATGATTTAGAGAGTCATCCTGGATCAGCTGTCCCCCTGAACAAAAGAAATCATACCCTCTTGATTGATTTTTATTTTGTTGCATCTTTGTAGTAATGTAATTGTATTTTTATGCCTGCTTTTTGTCTAAGAAAAAGAAATAAAAGAACCTAAGCTGTCGGCATCTTTTCCCGTGAAGTACTTGTGCAGTGCTGCGGCTTCTTGACCCGTCTCCCTAAAGGGTGCGGGTAGAAGGTGGGGTGACGTCATCACAGAGAGACCCTTGTGCCTTAGCTTCTGGAGTCTGCCTCCAAGTCACTCGGGGCTTGCAGACTTACACATCTGGTTCCAGGTGGGCAGGGTAGAGGACAGAGTGCCTTTCTGTCTGAAAAACAGTGTGATGGGCATCTTCTGGAAGGTGCTTTCCTGGTAAGCAGTGGCCATCCTCTGGTCTTGGGTTGGTGTATTCTCTGAATACATTCATCTGTAAAGTAGAGACTGTGTCTGCCTTTCAGGGACTGTTGTTTTAAATTGGGTAGTGCATGTGTGGTGGCGGCAGTAACCCAGATGTTCCCTCCAGAAGGGGGAATGGCCGGTTGTGGTGAGGCATGCTGGTAGAACTGGCTGAAGAGGTGGAGGCAGAGGAGGAGTTTGAGGCCAGCTTGGGCTACAAAAGGGGAAGTTTTCTATCTCAAAGAAGCGCTCTAAGCAGTGGTAAAATAAAAGTCCTGATGGAATATATCTAAAACACTTGTTGGGAAAAAGAGCACAACTTATATTAAACTAATGGTCTGGTTGTCAGTGTACGTGAGGAAAGATGAACTTGGGTTTTGTTTTCTGGCACTGGTTAAAATAACCATAGAATGGGTTATGTTTAGATGGAGCATTTCTCTCCTCTGGGTCCAGGGCAATCCTGACAAGATTAGCTAGCTTGCTAAGGAGCTGTACTTACATAACTGAAAATCCATGACAGTTAAGACCCAGTGGAGTTCAGCAAACGACAGTTTATTTTACATAGGAAACTAAACATTTTCCAGTAAACATCATTTATTCCTTACAATATGTCAGAATAATAGCATGCACATAGAAGAAGCAAGTGTGCTTTGAAGTGTTAGGGTTGTAAAACATCAGAGGAAGTACTGTGGACAATGCTTAGGATGTGTTACTTAGTAAGACTAAAACCCCCAGGAGTTGGGTGGGACTTAGCAATACTCTTGACTGCACACCTTCCAGCAGCTAAAACCTACACTGAGTCCCAGCAGCGTAACTGAGGTACGGCCCTTTTTTAAAAAGTCTGCGTTGTGCTTCAGTTGGGAAGGCTGTTGGTAATCCCTCATCTAAACAGAGGAGGGTTCAGTTAGGAACTCCGTAAGGCATACTGTGAAGGGTTGGAGCACTGCTTACTGTGTTGTAGACCCAGCAGCGTCTGTGTGCACTCCTGACAGCCCTGAGCAGATGCTGTGCTGCACCGTGACATACAAGCCCTTGGTCATGGAAGGGTTAACCTGCCCGGGGCGTGACTGAGCAGACCCCACCCACTCCTGGTGGGAAGACTACTAAAGGTTCTGAAAGCTGCAGTATAGACACAGCTGGCCCTTCAGAGAGGACGCAGTCTGACTTGAAGGGTCAAATGGTTCCTTGGGCAGCTCCCATTGTTGCAGGAGTCAAGGCTGGTGTGGTGGTGTGCTCTAGTCCAGCACTCCCAGTGTCCAGAAGGCTGAGGAAGGAGGACCACAAGCAGAAGGATAGCTTGGGCTGCATAGTGAGACTCTCTCTCTCTCTCTCTCTGTCTCTGTCTCTGTCTGTCTCTCTCTCTCTCTCTCTCTCTCTCTCTCTCTCTCTCTCACACACACACACACACACACACACACACACACACACACACACCAAAAAACCCCTAGTGTATAAGGCCCTACCACAACCTATGGGAGTGGGGGAAGGAAGTGGGCAATTTTAAACAAGTGGCTTTTTCCTTCTCTGAGTCGGCTGTGTAGCCCAGGCTACCTCAGACTCCCAAGTGCTGGAGGTGTAGGTTTGCACCTCCATATCCAGCTAAGAGGCTTTTCAAGTCTAACAAACCTGATCTGTAGTTTCTGAAATGATTGACTAGGAAAAGACTTTAAATGTAGCAATGGGAAGCAATGGTGCATCCCCTGGTTCCATCATTTGAAGTTCACTGTGTGTAGAAAGAATAACATCCATCATTCCGCTTTGGTGGCAGGCTTCCGGTAGTGCAGGACTGTTGCTGTTACCCATATATTTAAAGCCAGCATGATCACAAAACGGGTAAGAACTGAAATAAACAAAGTTCCAACATTAAAAAGCTGGACACTATCCTGCTTTTAGTAGAAGCCTACGTGAGATTTCACCTCCAGCTCCAAACAAAACAAGATCATGAGACCCAGAGCAGCCTTGCTTTCAGACATTTCCTGGGAAAGGACTTCCCTGTAGAAGCTTGGCCATGCATCCTCAAGCATCACTGAAGTGACGTGGCTCTGGCTAAGAGGTGCAGCTAAGACCCTTCCGCTTACGTCTCAGGACCTGGGTGTCTCAGAATGCTGCTTTCTATGAAGACTTGTGGTCAAGTGTGGTGGACTCTGCCTGTGGACCCATGAGAAAGGCTGAGGCAGGAGGACTGCTTGAGGCCCAAGGGAAAAGCCAACCTGGGCGGCACAGCAGAGACTCCACATCCCACCAAAGTATTTCTGAGCAATCAGCCCTGTGTCAGTACGTGTTGTATCATAAAGTGACCATGAAAAGATGTGACCGGTAGGCCAGGAGAACAGCAGCCTAACTTGCCCTTTAAGACATGAAGGCTCATTTTATGACAGGGTCTCACTGGCCCACTCGGTGTAGCTGAGGGTGACTTTAAACTCCTGATGCTCCTGCTTCGGCCTCCGAAGTGCTGGGATTACAGTTTCGGGAGTGTTGAGGCTTACAGCCAGCTCTCCTCACATGCATGGTAAGCCACTTTACCACATGAACTGCAGTCCCACCTGACTTCTGAGATGTCTTTGTGGTGGTCAAACACCTCCAGCATACTACCCACACTTCATTTTGGACAGGTTCTCCTCTTTATGTAGCTTTGGCTGACCTGGAACTTTTTGTGTAATCAGGCTGGCCTCAGACTCACAGAGATCCGCCTGCCTCTGCCTCTTGAGTGCTGGGATTACAGGCGTGCGCCACCACACCTGGCTGGGCACACTGTTTTTAAAAGCTAGTCAGTCACTCACAGCAGTGGTGACAGAGAAGAAACCCTGCAATAGGAACAGTTTTGATCTTTTAAATACAAGCTTTTTGTATGTGGGCTCTTTGCTGTTTAATTACATTCCTTTCCCTCCTGTGAACGCAACTCCCAGGGAGGAGAGCTAGGTCTGTCTCCTTTTCCATCCCATCACTAAAGTCAGAGCTGACAAAAATACAACCTCCCGAAAGGGACTTGACTCTCCTGAAGCTTGCTTTCTCAGTGGAAGGTCTAGTGTTGAGGACGTGTGCTAATTGTCATTGGATAGGTTTCTGTTTCTTCACTTTCCAAAGATGCTGTGTTGCCGGGCGGTGGTGGCGCACGCCTTTAATCCCAGCACTCGGGAGGCAGAGCCAGGCGGATCTCTGTGAGTTCGAGGCCAGCCTGGACTACCAAGTGAGTTCCAGGAAAGGCGCAAAGCTACACAGAGAAACCCTGTCTCGAAAAACCAAAAAAAAAAAACCAAAGATGCTGTGTTGAAAGCAGTGTAAGGGATGAATTCTCGTTCAGTCGACCAAAGTATTTTCTTCTCTCAGCTTCATGTGCGCTACACACACACACCCTGCCTACCTTCCGGTGTGAGCATGTAGCAGATGGCGCTACCTGAGCCCGTGCTTTAAAACACAGTTGGAGATGTCTTTGTACTCAAAGACATGTCTACAGTTCTGGCTTCTGGTCCCTGCCGGCCTCACTTCCCTCCTCCACTTCCCTCTCCCCCAGCCTCCTGCCTCCAGTGACCTGCACTCCTCAGTGTGGCCAGTCCTGGTGCCGCCTTTGCTCCTGGTCATGTGGGTTGCTCCTCTGATCAAATCTTTACTCAGCTTTTAAGACCTCACTTTGCAGATTACTCTCTCCGCTCCCACAGAGTAGGCAGGGTTCCTCAGCTACCCACCCTGCTGGTCTCCCAGACTGTACTGGTTCTTTTGCCTTAACTGCTTAAGTATACGGGATTATAGGTGCCTGCTACCACACCCTGCTGCCCTGCACTGAAAACCCATCTCACGGCACATTTCAACAGTAAATAGTGGCATTCCTGTCCAATCTCCTTGTTGACGCAGGGACTCCAGGGTGAGAATGGGCTCCCTTGGGCATATTTCTCCCCATGGACTGCAGGGAGTGGATGCTAAATAGAGATTGTCACTGTTGAAGACTAAATTACATTCTTTTGTCCTGTGAATCCGTAGCCCAATCGAACTAAATGAATCTGTTAAGCCTTATGATGGGTTCCATGTTAGACCCAAGTCCCACAAAAACAAACAAACAACAGAAAACAAACCCACACACAGGAAGTCAAAAAGAAGTTTTTGCTTACTTGTCAGATCATTGGTGGTCATTAGAGTTGTTATTATCCTTGCTGGAAAAGAAAATTCATAGAATAAATAACTTCTCACACATTTTTTTGATACTTCGATTTAGCTCATGCCTTTCCATTTTACTGTAGTAATATATGCTAACTTCCTGGATGACCTTGATAGGGGACCTTTGTTAATACTGTAGTGTGTAACCATCGAATGAGCAGTCATGCACCCTGACCCTGGCCCAGTCATGCAGGAGCTGCTCAAGAAAGCAAAAGTGATTTCTAACAGTAGCTCAGCACTGCCGGGGAGGGCTTCCATCCCTCCCTGTGCTCACCCTTAAAAACAAAAATCCTAAGTCTCATTTGCATATTGAGCTTCCAGATATTTTAGTTGAAGAAAGGCTCCCACTAATTAAAATGTGTGTGTGTGTGTGTGTGTGTGTGGGTGGGTGTAGACAGACTAGAGAGATGGTTCAGTGGTTAAGAGCCCTGGCTGCTCTTCCAAGGACCTGGGATCACTTCCCAGCACCTGTTTGGGAGCATATAACTCTAGTCCCAGAGAGTCTGACCCCTCTTTTGGCATCTGAGGGCACCAGGCATGCATGCGGTGCACATACATAAATTTAGGTAAGATACCCATATACATAAAATTAAACAAAAATCATGTTTTAAAAATTACATGTTTTTGAGGCAGGGTCTTACTGTGTATCACTAGCTGACCTTGAAATCCCAGCGATCCACCTGCCTCTGTTTACTGAGCACTGGGATCAAAGGCGTGCGCCACCACACTGGCAAGGAGAAGACACGCTCTTCCTGTCTAACTAGAGTTAGTTCTGTTGTTTAGCCCCTTTCTCAGTTAACAGCCCTCTGTAGTGAAAGGACCCCGGGCAACAGCTGAAGCCACAGTCTGCATTACAACCCCTCGTACACAGGGGTTCCCTCCCTTAGCAGGTTCTGTTGAGCAGTTCATTACAAACGTAGTAGTGTGCAAGAGAAGACCCTGACATTGATGGAACCCGGTCCCTGGAGCGAGGTGGCCTTACTTGCACAGGTGTAGGCAGAGAGGCCCCAGGTCAGTGCGCTCACGGCTTCCGAGTCCTTTAGCTTCCACAGATACTGGAGCTGGGCGAACTTACTGGCTGCACTGATCACGGTGCACAAGTTCTGGGGTGGAAAAAGAGAGTCAGTCTGAAAAGACAGAGGACTGGAGACAGAGCTTTTTTTTTCTTGTCTGTTTTATTCTCTGGAGAGCTCGCACAACTGTGAGAGCTAGTTCTCCTTCTACTGTGTGGTTCTGGGGTTGAACTCAGGCCATCAGGCTGGGCAGCCAGCACCATTAACCACTGAGTCGTTGCGTCAGCCCAGATTCGGTGCTTTTTAAGCCAAATGTTCCAAGTCTTAACAGTCTCCAACCTGCCAAGGTTTGAAACTTCAGTTTGGTGAAGAATGACCCTCGGCTGCCTCTGTGGTAGAGAGTGAACTGGCCAGACAGACCTAGTCCAGGGCCTGGCTGCAGACCCACCCTGTGTTCTGCTCTCTCCCCAGAATAGGGACGGTGTATCCTGGCCTGTCACTAAATTGATCAACTTCCAAACTATTCCTCATCCTGAGCACTGTCCTCTCTTATCTCTCAGACAAGAAAGCCTTGCAAATTGGCTATCAACCCGTCAGGCTCTATCTCCCCAGCGGCTGCTAAGCTCAGACCAGAGGGAGACTACTACAGTCAGCTAGGCTGAGCAGGAGGGCATGGTCGGGGAGATGAAGTTAGAAAGGACCACAGAGAGTGGTGTGTTTGGAAGTCAGGCTTGGGAAGCAAGTGTGTGGTACCGAGATCCTGATCTATAGTGAAACTTCAGAGATGAGTGGCATGGGGACTGACAGCTGGCTTTCCAATCAGTGACAGTCACGGGGCCCTTGACAAGCTCTGCTTCCTGCTGCAGCAACAGGACCTGGCTGGCATGGGCACCTGGCTGGCCACCAGAAGTCCTTGTGGGTGAGAGATGGGGCTCCACAGGGAAGAGTCCTGGAGAGAGGGGTGTCGGGGAGTGTGTCTGGGCAGAGGACGGAGCAGTGCCATGGCTTAAACAGACAAAAGTCAAGCACAGATGGCCTGTAGGAAGGCTGAGCCCAAGCAAGGAAACCGGTGGGAAAAGAAGCTCTTGAGAAATTGGGGCGCTGGATAAAGCAAAGGAAGGTGGCAGGGTCAGCTTAGTGTGGTGGGGAGGGGCCCAAAAGGGGGGGGGGGAAACGCCAAAAGTGGGTTACAGCATAGCCCAAGCGGACAAGTTACTAGCGTGTTTCCTTTTCCAGAAAAAGCCAACTTTGAGATCAAGGGGTAGTCTGGGACCAGGCCATTAGAGAACTCCAGTAGTGTCAACACACACTCAAGGGAGAGCATCCTGTTAGCTCACGAAACGGTCCAGTGCAGGCAGGGGACTGGCAAGCAGAGATGTGAAGGAGCTGAATGTGGGCATGAAAAGTACCAGTCCGTCCCCAAGTCTGCCAGAGAGCAGGTGCACAGTGAGCGCTTGTAGGGAGACTGAGGAGGAGACGCAGAGTGGGAGGGAAACGGGAAAGTTAACATTTGAAAAGTATCCCTGTCTCGAAAAACCAAAAAAAAAAAAAAAAAAAAAAAAAAAGAAAAGTTACACTGTGGGGGATGGCAAGGTGGGGGATGGCAAGGGATCGCCGGGTGGGGAAGATTGCTGGGGGTCTGATGACCCGAGTTCAATCCCTGAAACCCACAAGATGGAAGGAGATGACTATCACAAGTCCCTGTGTGGATTCCCCGCCCCCATACACAGAAGAGGGGGAGTCCATCTTCGTGTTCCCTTTGAGCCCCAAACCTTTCAAGAATAACGTCTTGATATTTGGCCTGTATTGCCTTTTCATCCTCAGTACGGCTGCAAAGGGTGGATGAAACCCCATGCTCTAAAGCAGCGGTTCTCAGCCTGTGGGTCTAGACCCCTTTGGGGGTGTCTAGTGACCCTTTCACAGGGGTCACCTAAGACCATCAGAAAATACAGATGTTTACAATTCGTAATAGTAGCAAAGTGACAGTTACGAAGTAGCAATGAAAATAATTTTATGATTGAAGGTCACCACAACGTGAGGAACTGTTAAAGGGTCGCAGCGTTAGGAAGGTTGAAAAATCACTGCTCTAAAGCGATGTAGGCACAAAAGGAAGGTATCCATTTTTTCAGTCTCTCTCCATTAGGGGCACCACTCACCATGGCCAGGTCGATGATCCATTTCTGCAGGCTGAGGATGAACCAAGAAGACACAAATCTGGACGCGTGCTAAGGGACTCGGCAGTGAGTCACTGGCAGCCCCACCCACCCCTCCCTTCTTGTTCTGTGCAAACCAAGCCAGACCTCAGAGGGTGACACAGAAGCCACAGTGGAAGGGGGGACTGTTCTGGACAACGTCCAGCTTGGAAAAGATGCTAGGGATTGCGTGTGAATGAATATCTGCTCTGAGCTCAGAAGAACGGAAGCAAATTGTGGAAGAAAGCGTACAGATCCGTGTTCCCGGACTGTAACCTGAGGCTGGGGATAGTCATACAGCTGTAGCTACATGCTGCTTTCCTGACCCAAGCAGACATCTCTAATGCATCAAAAATTAAGCACTTACAAGAAAGGTTCAAGGAGAGATGCTCTGCAAGACTCGTGTGCTGTGTGTGAACTTTTTAGAATCCACATCCCTTTCCCCTAATTCTGTTGTAAAAGCACAGTAGTTGGGGTGTGCGATGATAGGCAAGGAGGAACCATTTTCCATCTATCTTGTGCAGGGACTCAGGGGCTCAGTGACTGACTACTTGAAATGAAAGAGCCCAACCAGGGCAGAAAGATCAAGCCATGAGGGCCGAGGGGAGCCATAGTCAGGGTGGGAGCGGCTGGCAGGAACAAGTCACTTCCCACTGCTTTGCCTTGGGTGCCATTTCCCTGCTCTGTCTACCTCCCACATGCTACCAGCATACAGAAGAACCCCGAAGCTGGCCGAAAACAATGGTTACGTTAACTAGGTGAAGGGATTAAACTAGAGATGGCCCATGCCAGGAGGCTGCAGAACCGAACACAGTGTGGGCCACAGCCATGGCTGGCATCCAGCTGCACCAAACTGTTACTAAAGCGTTCTCTACGCCAAGTGTAGTGTTGCATGCCTGCCATCTTGGCATTTGGGAGGTGGAGGCCGGAGGGTCCGAAGTTCAAGTCATCCTCGGCTACACGGGGAGGTGAAGGCCAACACAGCTATGCTCTCCCTCTTCCTATGGAGAGGGGAACCTGAGCCAGGATGCTAACAGCAATCGGAGACGGTGTGGTCCAGACTTACCCAAACCCTTGGGCCTCTCACTGTAAAAAGGGTGTGTGGCCATGTCACGGAGGCAGCAGGATTAACTGACTGCTACCTCCGTGCAAACACTCTCTTGGCCTTTTAAGACACATGAAGTTTAAGAAAAGGGACACCGAGACCGTAGGGAAAAGGCTGCCGTGAAACCTCACCCTCTGCATAGAAGATGCCACCGAATGGAGCAGTCTGAGGGCTGACCATTATTACAATCAATCCACGTGAGTCTATTAAATGGGTAACAGGATTTATTAAGATATAAATTGAGGAAATACACTCGCGATTACAGAACAGAGTAGACAGCTGAAGTTGTCCTCTGATCTGACTGGGGGCGAATCCACCTTGAAGGCAGGAGCAGGGAGAAGGGTCACGTGACCCTTCTCTCCCTTTCCTTATAAAAGAGGTCACACACAATGGCAGGAAGCACCACCTCCTTTGGGGCCATATAGCCCAAGGTCATGAGCGGAGCAAATACCACTACAGACCATTCTGCACCTTAAGCCTCCAAACCACCTCTGCCACCTAGTCAAGGCTCAGCCTCTAAATTACAGTTTTGCATAGGGGTGTGATTAGCGGAAAACTGCCCCCATCCGGCCCATGCCTACAGCCAGGCACCTGCCAGGTGCATCCTGCCTGGGACTTGGTGCCAGCCACTCTCATGTTATTAATCCTCTGGGGACATGCTCACGGAAGGAAGGAAGGAGAGCCTGAGATAAGCCCAGGGGGAGCGTGTTGTTCTTAGCAGGGTGACTGCACACCTCACACGTTCGGCGGGGGCACAGCCAATCTATACCCCGCGTGGTCTTGGAGGTCAGTGGGGCACCCTGTTACAGGGATGCCACTGGCCGCAGCCACTAACCTATGATTTGTGTATTTTATGTATTTATGCACTTTATGATCCTTGTTTAGGTAAAAATAAAAAATATGACCCTGCTTCACAAGGCATAATATTGGCAAATAACACCCCAGACCCCACCCCCACCCCCTTTTTGGTGCTGAGGGCAGTCCAGAGCGTCTTGCATGCCACCACCGAGCGAGCACCCCTTCCTTGGCCCCTCTACCTCCATCTCCAGCTCAGATGCAGGAAGGATACACGGCGGCGTAGGGCAAGGCCTGCTTCACGTTCCCATTGAAGTGAAAGACGAATAACAGGAGGAGGATGTCTGAAAGGAGAGTCTGAGATGGGCAGGGCAGTAGGGAGGCAGGCTGGGGATGGGGTGGGGGGAGGGGGGTGTCGGTTACCTTGTGCGATGAGAATGGGGTATTCCAGGTACGTGAGCAGTGGGTTCCCATAGTAACACTGGTAGCGGAAGAAGACCAGGAACCTGGAGAAAGGACATGTAGATATTCACAACCCACCCTGCGACCCGCCAGACCCCAGATACATGTACCCAACACTAGAGCATGGGGTCTTCACCATACTCGTGACGGACCTGAGGACAGACCTTCAGGAATGTTGTCAGAGACCCGTGTGGCAGGTCCAAGAGACCCTGAGCGTCAGCACTTTGCTAAACACCCTCAGGGGTCACCTACACTGCCTGTCACATCGTAAAGGTCACTCGGGGTAACTAAGATCCAAAGAAGACAAGACCCCCGTGAGAACTCAAGGATAAGAGGGAGGGTCTCACCCTGAGGTGTTGCCCTAGCTCTGGCTTCTATGATTTTAGGGGGACCCAAACATCCCACACATCCTGTGCCATGAGGATGATGCGTGAGTGCTTTTCTTTTTTCTTTTCTTTTTCTTTCTTTCTTTTTTGTTTTTGTTTTCCGAGACAGGGTTTCTCTGTAATTTTGGTGCCTGTCTTGGATCTTGCTCTGTAGACCAGGCTGGCCTCGAACTCACAGAGAGATCCTCCTGGCTCTGCCTCAGGATTCTGTATACAGCAGTCATCAACCAGGCATGGAATCTCTGGTGTCATTAAAATAGGCTCTGGCCAAGATCCAATTCCCTCACGCCAGAATTTTAGAGTTTGAGCTCTCAGATCGAAAGCCAAGGAGGGTCCATGCCTCCAAGGCAGGAGTCCAGTCCCTGGAGCATGCAGGCTGCCTGAGGGTGGCAGCCTTTAGGGTCTTCCTGATACCTCAGAGCTTATCTGACTGGTGAGGGTCAGGCAGGCAGCCAGGCAAGGCCCAGAGGGAAGCAGAATTGGAGTGACCACCCTATCCATGCCGGGGGGAGGAGGGAGAAGGGAGCGGGAGGAGGGCGGGGGGAGGAGCCAGAATGTAAACAGCGGGGATCAGGCAGGGTTGCTCTCCTATTCCTATTGTTCCTACCTCAGGATTAAAACAACTCCCACCTAAAGCTGCAGTGAGGATTAAAGAAGCAATGCGTGTAGGGCCCCGGGAGGACCTTCGGAAAGTTCTCACGAACTGGGAACTATTGTAATCAGCTGCTGGCTGGAGGAAGTAGGGATAAATAACTATTGGATTTCAGTGGTGGAGCATACCCGCGCCTTCTGGCCTCAGAGCTGGTCTTAACCCCGCCAAACCTAATTCCAGAAACCTGCCGTGGCTGCCCGCCCACTGCCCCGAAGGGAGAGAGGCGGTTGAGACTTCCAGAAAGAGCCTACTTTATCTGTATCGCGATAAGACTGCAAGACCCATCCGGGTCCCCGGGAACATTCCATGACCGGAGAGAGCTGTGTTTTGCTGGAGTCAGCTGTTGGGGTTGAGAAGATTCCTGATTGGGTTTGCGTGTTCAAAGCCGGGCTGCAAAGAGGGAGCTACAGGCAGGTTAGGAAATGTGGCTTGGCGCTCTGTAGGCGTCCGTGAGCTTGCTCTTCAGTCTGCACCCTGAAGCCTCCGCCCCATGCTCGCGAAGGACTTCGCAAGCCGGAGAGGCCAAAATTGCTCTCCTGACTTCAAACACCCGCATCATCCTCGGCCGCAGCCAGGTTGTCATTTCTGTTGGCATCCTTCTGTCTCATGCCTCACCCCTCACCCTGCCAGCCTCTCTCTCCCTCTCTGAAATACACATACTCTAGTTTCTATGCGGCCATCGGACCAGGGACCCTCCCGCCCGCCCGCCCCACCGAGCCTCTCTGGAAAGGTGCACCTTGAAGCCCACTCCCATCAGATGGGCGCGCTCCTCCCGGAGGGTGCCAGCGGGGTGGGGCTGGTGACAAACCGAGAGGGCTCTGCCTGGCGCAAGATCGCGCGACTCAGGGACGTGTTCCCCATTTAATTTGTTTTCCCCAACCGAAGTTTCACAACTTTACCTCTGACTCTTAACTACTTAGCCAAGGGCACCGAGAACTTGGCTCCTGCAACAGTCGCTTCCCAATCCTGCGTGCTGGACCCCAGCCCAACTTTCAAGCGCGGACCCAAGTTCCCCCTCCTCCTCCCCCACATGGAATCATCAAATCTTGTAACTCAGATCTCAGCCCAACCACTGGTTTACTGGCAGGGGTCTCGGGGCTGGAAAAAAAAAGGGGGGGTGTGCCGGGTGATGTTAGGGACATTAAGGGGCTGCAGGTGCAAATCGCTTTGCCCGCGCCCTGAAGGTTGTCTATAAAGACGGGGTGGCTCCGCTGCATCTCTAAGATGGGCGTGCACATGCAATTCGTATCTCCCGGGATTTGGGGAGAAGAAGCAAGGGAGGTGTGTGGGAGCGCCCGGGAAAGCGCCTCCCAGCCCCGCGTCCCCCGAGTTAACCCTTGGCCTCCCGGACTCGCAGGCCTCCCGGGGCCTTACCCCGCCAGCTCCAAAAGTAAACTAGGGAGGCTGATGCCTCGCGCGCTGCGCGCCGCCAGCTGCGCGTAGATCTGCGGCAGCTTGAGTGCGGCGCACACGGCCAGCGTGCTCCAGTTGCAGAACCACAGCAGCCCGGCCTCCATGCTGCAGTCCCGGGGTGTACCGGGGTTCAGGGGATTGAGAGATCTTGTAGGTGAGAACCAGGAGCTTACGATCCAAAGAGTCCTTCCGCCTTCCCGCCGGCCGGGCCACGCCCCGACCACGCCCCGAGCTGCTGCGCTCGAGGGCGCCCCGCCCATGTCGGCTGGACTCAGGATGCTCCCCGCCCAGAGTCGGCTCTGCTCTGGGTGTGCCCCGCCCGGCCCTTGGTTTGCTAAGCTCTGGAAACACTCCCGCCCCGGGTCTGCTCCCATCCGGGTGCACCCTGCCCTGAGTCTGCTCCACTCCGGGTGCACTCCGCCCGTTGCCCGCCCCGGCTCAGGATGCTCCCCGCCCGGTGTCTGCTCCACTCTGGGTGCACCCTGCCCCGTGTCTGCTCTGCTCCGGGTGCTCCCGTCCCCGGGGTGGTGGCTCTGCCCTGCCCTGCTGGGTTCTGCCAGCTGCTGATTCACTCTCCGGGTTCCACCCACCGATGCTCTTCCTAGCGGAATGCAAACGCCCGGACAAACCAGCCTCCCCAGGGGTTGGGTGGGCACAGGGACTACTTCTCAGGCCATAGGCCATTCTGTGTGTTTTCCACTCTCCACAAGTTATCTCTTTGCTCTGAACCTCTCAGCGATGAAAACTTTTAAAGCCTTTGGTCCAACCCCGTCAGCATCCTCCCCGTCTTACAGGCCTGAAGAAGCCAGAGAACGCTGAGGCCCCTGAAACCCAGCCACACGAAGCCAGCCTTCTGTTGGCGAAAGACATCCACAGCGGAGGCTAATCTCTTTAGTGAGCTTGCTCCCTAAACCCGGAGGCTGGTTTTCCTGTTTTGTTTTGTTGAAACAAGGTCTTATACAATGCTGACTGACTGGTCTTGAACTCAGTGTGTAGCCTAAGCCAGCTTTCAACTTCGGATCCTCCGGCTTCCGCTTTCCAAGGGCTAGGATTGCAAGTGTGTGCCTCTGCACCAGGACTTAATAGTGTGTGGGTTGTGGCGGGGTCACGTGACCTAGACTGGCTTTGAACTTCTCGTTTCGTTTTGTTTTCTCCGCCTTTTGGCGAACGATGGGATTACAAGCTTGTTCCATCTGAGAGCCCGCTCTTTCCTTCCTTCCCTCCTATTTTTATTTTTATTCTTAGGGCTTTGTTGTCGTTGTGTGCGCGTGAGCACGCGCTTGAACCTGCGCTTGGGCAACCAAGCCCAATGGACAGCCTCACCTGTCAGTCCTCGGGTACTGTCCACCCTCACTGGCTTGGAACTCACCAAACAGGCTAGGCCAACTGGCCAGGAGACCCCAGAGAATCCTCTTTTTTTCCAGCCTCCCCACCGCTGAGAATGCAAACACACATGGCCAACTTATTTAGGTGGGTTCTGGGATCTAACTTGGGTCCTCCAAAGAGTTAATAGGTAACCATTGAGAAGTGGGGTGTTGTGGTGCATGCTGTTTCCTCCAGACTGGATCCCTGCTCTCTGGAGTGAGGGCTACTGAGATCACCTGCTGGAGATGTCCCTTGGGAGGTGTTACAAGGACCCCCTCCTCTCCAGTGTTTATAAACTGTAAACAGTAGCTGTCTCTAAGTTTCATGGGGGGAGCAGGGACAACCTGAGTCCAGCGAGTGATGCAGTTGTCTTGTGTTGTGTGGAGGACCCATGTTACTGGGGCAGGTGGTGCCCGCCTCAGTTATGCTCCTGTAAGCAATCCCAGTAAACTCACTGGCTGACCAGGGTGGACCTGGATGGGGTAGATTTCTACTCTGTCAGAGCCCTGCCTGAGGTGAGTTGGTGCCTCCCTGTATATAACAGGAGGAAACATAACGGGAGGAAACCTGGATACTGCCCTTTAGGTACACGATTGGAAGAGGGGATCATTTTCCCTCCTCTGGAGATTGCTAGGCTATAATAGTGAACACACACACTCACACACATGTGCACACACACAGCCAGTCCATGGTAATTCTGTGCTGTAAGCCACACACCAGCACACCTGCCTTGCCTCAGTCCTCACCCAAACCCTCACCCTTCCAGTGTAAGAAGCCAAAAAGCTCTCTGGCTTCTCTCCCAAGAGAGAGATCTTTGAAGGGTGTGTGTGTGTGTGTGTGTGTGTGTGTGTGTGTGTGTGTGTGTGTGTGTGTGTCCGTGTGTCCACTATGTTGCTGATCAGTAGACAACTCTGCTCCTAAGAAAAGTAGTGGAGGATGGAGATCCGATCCAGCCAGCTCTTCTCTGAGTTACTCCATATTGTGTAAAGCAAACAGCCTCCTAGCTCGACCTTACCCTGAGTAACTCCATTTTACAAAGTAGCAGTTTGTTCCATTTTGAGCGTGAACTCTAAGACAAAAGGACTCCAAATGCCATACAGGTAAACAACCGCCTAAGCTTGCAGGGGTGTCCCATAGGCTAAGGAATAGCTGACATTTCCATCTGCATGTGGCTTATTTATGTCCTACACATAATGTGGCCAGTGTGCTGTGGACATCATGCCACATGGCTAAGCCGGTCAGCGTGGATCCTGGGAACAGAAGTGTCTACATCAGGGCTTCTTAAATTCCTTCCACTCCCGCCCCCTCTCACCTGAGACAGCTAGCTCTCTGTGACCCTGGATGAGGATGTACATACAGTGTGTGATCAGGCAGCCGCGTTCACATGCAGAGCTAGCCTGGGCAGCTTCCCTTTGTCTTCTCCTCCTCTGTCTCCTTCTGAAGAACACTTTCCCAGACACTGGGTTCTCCTCCTCTGACTTCTGACGCATGCTTTCCCAGACACTGGGGTCTCCTCCTCTGTCTCCTTCTGAAGCAGCTTCCCCAGACACTGGTTCCCTCCCTTTCCCAGACACTCCCCTCCCCCACTTTTTGCACCACACTGGCTGCTTGGCAGCCAAGCGGCTACTTACTAAATAAAGGACATGGTTCCTTTTTTCCAAGATTTACAGTTTGCCTGTTCTCTGCTTTTCTCAAACTCTAATAAAAAACATCCTTGAACTTAAAAAAAAAAACTATAAATCGAACACCAGCTGATTGCAAATCAAATAAATTTATTTTAAAACAATTCTTTGGTTTACACATAATTTTAGAATTTATTAAAAATGAAAGTCGCCGGGCGGTGGTGGCGCACGCCTTTAATCCCAGCACTCGGGAGGCAGAGCCAGGCGGATCTCTGTGAGTTCGAGACCAGCCTGGGCTACCAAGTGAGTTCCAGGAGAGGCGCAAAGCTACACAGAGAAACCCTGTCTCGAAAAACCAAAAAAAAAAAAAAAAAAAAAAAAAAAAAAATGAAAGTCAATTCACATACTGAGGTGGTTGTGTTTATTTTTATACAAAGAATTAAATCTTGGCTGAATATTTGACAGGACAGAAAGTAGAACATTTTCAACATTTTTCAGAGTTGACTGATATTTTTATTTAATTTTTAAATTTTTAAAAAAATTCTACTTTTATTTTATGTGTGTATTTTGCCTGCATGTATGTCTGTGTACCACAAACATGCCTGATGCCCGGGAGGCCAGAAGAGGACGTTGGATCCCCTGGAACTGGAATTACAATCAGGAGCTGCCATGTGAGTGCCAGGGAGCAAACCCCCGTCCTTTGGGAGAGCAACCAGTACCCTTTACCTCTCAGCCCTCCCTGCAGCCCTCTGGTACTTTGATTTTATAACTGCCAAAACAGAGACTGCCCTTTACAGAAATAACTAACACCAAACGGCACAGTCTGTTTAAGGCTATTTTAGAAATTGTTGGAAACTTTCTAACCATAAGCCAAATACCTTTTTTTTTTTTTTTTTTTTTTTTTGGTTTTTCGAGACAGGGTTTCTCTGTGTAGCTTTGCGCCTTTCCTGGAACTCGCTTTGGAGACCAGGCTGGCCTCGAACTCACAGAGATCCGCCTGGCTCTGCCTCCCGAGTGCTGGGATTAAAGGCGTGCGCCACCACCGCCCGGCACCTTTTTTTTTTTAATGAAACTTGAGTCAATAGAGCAGCAATTGTGTGTGTGTGTGTGTGTGTGTTTGTGTGTGTGTGCATGTGTGTGCACACATGTGTGCATGGGCCCGTGGGTCTCTTAAAGTCGTGTGGTGTGACAGCCTGCTCAGTACAAATCACACACACTGTATGTTCAGAGCCACAGCCATGGTGAAGTCACATGATACAACAACTGGCCAGCACTGCCAGGAACATCTGGAGTCCATTATGTGTTGGACTTTGAATTAATTTTTGGTCCCCGCATGTCCAAAACACTTACTGTGACCAAGTTTTTGCAGACCCCCCCTCACGCAGTTACCTGACCCCAGCTCAGTTTCAGAAGCTGGGTTCTACGCCAGCACAGTGTGATTGACAGGTTATGACACCAATGCAGCTCCCTGTCCGTCTGTCATCTGCGTTTACTCCCCATAGTGTCCCCTATAGACCCAGGAATGGGCCGAGGTTTTGGACTGTACTGCCTTTAACCTGGGTCCCGGCCTCAGCTCCCTTTGTCTTTCATAGAGTGACAAGAATGTGTCTCTGTCCTTGGTGACACAGCTCGTGTCTCCAGACTGTCATTTTGGGAGGTGCATCATGTCAGCAGCCCTTCTACTGATGAGGCTCACTATGAATCTCTAACTAAAGGTTTCTATGGCCTTTATTAATTCACACCTAAATTAGCTATGAGTGTTAGGCCTAAAATGACAATATTTCTGTTCTTTATTCTACAATCCTCAAGAGTTCAGTACTTTAAAAAAATGTAATTATTTTTAATAATGCGTGTGTGTGTGTGTGTGTGTGTGTGTGTGTGTGTGCATGTGAGTCAGGGGTGTAGCCGGGGTTGGCCTTCTGTTCTCCTTCATTTTGGTGTCCACATTGTTTGGTGGACTGGCACCTCTCAGGCTGGCTCATGTGTCCCCTGTACATGACCTCATCATGCCTAGTATAGGAAGATGCCCAATGGTCACTCCGTGCCTCCACGGCTGGCGGTCATTCTTGTCACTGGAAGCAGAGGTGGCTTCTACCACGGAGCAGATGGAGGCAGAGACGCTCAGAGATGCAGTGGTCGGGGGTGAAGGGCTCCTTCTGCCCTTCTGTGGTCCTCAGCTCCCCAGCCTCGTCCCTTCTGGACCCCTGGTGCTGCCCAGATGACTCTAGGCTCTGAGCTGCCCGGGTTGACTGTCTAGACAAAGCTCCCTAAGGTGTTCTGGTGATGCCATGGAGTGGTGCCACGGCTCCATGCCTAGGTCTGGAGGCTGCCTGGCTCATCCAGCCTTCTATGTTCCGGTCCCAAAGAGAGAAGACGCTGGTGGCTGGATCCTCCATCTCCATTTCCTCAGCCCGTGGGGGAGACGGTGATGGTCCAAAGCAGGGACCTTCCTAAAGAGCCTGAAGATGTGACCGGGACGGAGGAGTGGTATGTGGGGTGGAGGGTACGAGGGACTGGCTGTGACCTTCAGAATCGTGCAGACGTGGCATGCCATACTCTCCTTCAGGCTTTCTTGGTTCAGCTGGCCTTGGCACTCTGGAGACGAGCAGAGGGAACCCTGTGGCCCGGGAACCTGTTGGTCCAAAAAAAAAAAAAACTGAGGCCGGGCGGTGGTGGCGCACGCCTTTAATCCCAGCACTCGGGAGGCAGAGCCAGGTGGATCTCTGTGAGTTCGAGGCCAGCCTGGGCTACCAAGTGAGTTCCAGGAAAAGGCGCAAAGCTACACAGAGAAACCCTGTCTCCAAGAACCAAAAAAAAAAAAAAAAAAAAAAAAACAAAACAAAAAAAAAAACTGAGAGATATGCAGACAAGATCTTTTCCCAGTGTGGTGTTCCAGCCAAGGTCTGTGGATGGGAAAGGAGTCGGTGAGGTGTATTGTATAGTCCCTGCTGACCAATGCACTCTGGTACTTTATGGTCCCTGCTGATCAATGCGCTCTGGAGAACAGCCCCCCCCCCCCCATGATAGCCTTGAGATCTGTCTCCTCCCCTTTCCTGACCATCCTCTAACTGTGGAGATGGAGGCCTGGAGAGGTATCGCTGCCCTGAGCCAGACATCACAGGGAATTGACCAGGCTACCCCAACTGTTTGCCTTGGCATTCAGGCTTCTTGGATAGCGAGGAAAATACCCACGAACAGGGTGAGATGGGCTTCAACGCTGCACCGTCCATAAGTGGCTGTGCTTGTAGGCTTGGGGACCAGTTCAGGGCCCCCCGGTCCCATGTCCCAGGAGACCGGTTACAGAAGTCTTATGAGTCTCTCCAGTGTGCACAAGTGAAGCCACCTGCAGCTCTACTTGGTCTTAGTTTTTGGTTTTTTTAGTTTTAATTATGTGTATGTGTCTGCATAGATATCTGTGCATTCAGGTGCATTCAGGAGACCAGAGAGGGCATTGGATTCCTTGGAGCTAGAGTTCCAGGTGGCCACGTGGGTGCTGGGCGTGGAACCTAAGTCCTCTGCGAGTGCTTTTAGCGGCTGAGCCATCTCTCCAGCCCGAGTCTTGACTTCTCTTTCTCGCTCCTAGACTCTCACTCGGACAGAAATAGCTCTCTGGAGGTGGTGGTGGTGATGGGTAGAGTGACATATAGCATGCTCACACCAGAAACACAGGCTGCACCTGTACTGAGCCCCTAATAGTTCCTTCTCTACCCGTCCAACTCAAGGTCATGCGATACGGCCACAGTATGACCTTGACGCCTGACTGCACTCACTGGTGACCTTTGCGCCTAGCTCTGTGATCTCGGATTGGTCAGGACACCCCGCTTTGACCTTAGACTCCCAGAAAGAAGGCTGTAGCCTTCCGGTCAGATCCCAAGGCTGGGTGCTACCAGCTCACCTTGCTTCCTCCCAATGCATGAAGTCAGGCCGAGATGCCCCAGACAGACAGACAGACAGATGACAGGGGCAGAAGCTGTGAGCAACCTCATGGTTATAAGGTTAGATGGAACCCGTCAGACATGCTCTGGCCTTAATACTGGGTTCTCTTTCCAGAATCCCTGGGTCCTGAGCTGGAAGGGCTGAGGTTCTGTGGTCCTGGAATGTTTCTGGAATCCTCCTCCTGTGCCATGTGGGACTGAGCCAAGAGTACCCACGCTCCAAGGGCTGCCTGGGCTTGGTCCAGTCCATACCCACCTGCTGCGGTCCACCCTGAGATCTCTACATGGGCTGCAGTTCATCCTCCGGCTTCTTCTTCCGCGTGCCTTCCATGAAGAAGAAGTCCATGTGCGTGAGGGCTCTCCCCAGGGGCGTGTCCACCCTGCTGCCCACCTCCCGGCTCGTGGAGCTGGGGAGTGTGTCTGAGAAGAAGGGCACATGGGCAGGCAGCTCCTTAGGCTCCTTCTTATTTCCCTAAGGAGAGGAGACATTTCAGGTCATGGGCGCTGTGGGAAAATGAAGAACCTGTGCACTATGTTTGAGGTGTTCTTTGGATGCTCACATCCAGGTTTGGAGCTGGAACCCAGAATGGGAGCTAGAAAGGGTCTTGACAACATCCACTTCGGGCAGGGTGGAGGGTCGACTGGAGATGCAGACTCAGAGCGTTTACTCAAGTCCATTCTCCTTAGGGGACTTGCGGCACACATTCCTCCGAGTTGAGCAGACTCAACTAGGCAAGAAGTCTCAGCGGCAAATGAGCCACTTGGTTTGTTGTTTTGTTTTTGAGACAAGGCCTCACTCGGCAGCCCTGGCTGGCCTACTACCTGCTGTAAGGAGCAGGCTGGTCCGGACAATACTCCAGAGTGCTGGGAGTACATGTGTGCAGGTACCGGCTCCTGGTTTATTTTCAGTGAAACTCGGAGGGCTGGAGAGGTGGCTTAGCCTCTAAACATCAAGCGTTCAGTTCTCAGCACCCACATCATGAACAATCATCCCCCCAGCTTCCCCTTTCTCTCCTACAACTGCATATACAAACACACACACAGAAATACACTCACACAGACATACCAAAAAAGTGTGTGTGTGTGTGTGTGTGTGTGTGTGTGTGTGTGTGTGTGTGTGTGTGTGAGTGTGTGTGTGATATCTTTAATAAAATCCACCAACTGGGTAATTTTTTTCTAAATGTTCTATATAAATATTTTCTTAATGTTCTATATAAATATTTTCTTTTCCATTAGACCTTGAATTACTTAAACAATACTGTTCTATTCCTCACTCCAGCACAGAGCAAAGAGTAGGTACTCAATAAATTCAGTTAAATGAAGAAAGACCGGATATTCATGCTGCAAGCAGTTTTCTGGAGGGCGGATGCTGCCTTACCAAAGGGTCGTAGTCTTTCAGGAAACCCCAGTTCTCAGCCCTGGAAAGGAAAACATAGGAATGTGAGTGAGTTTTTTTTCTTTTTTTTTTTCTGGAATATTCTGAAGATTGACTTTCACCATATCTTTAAGTCTTTATATCGCCATGGAGGAGTTCAAATGCTGTGTAACCATGATAAATGCCAAGTGCCCATGCTGTATTTATGGAGCAGCCCACAGAGCGACCAGTGGATTTTTCTATCTTGTTCTTGTAATTTCCACAAATTCTTCTTACCGTAAATGTGTGTAACACTTCAAGGTTACAGTTTATTTATTCATTCGTCTGTTTTAGTCCAGGTTAGTTTAGAACTCATTATGTAGCTGAGGATGACCTTGCCTTGGCCTGGAACTTTCTATGTAGACCAGGCTGGCTTTGAACTCACAGAGATCTGCCTGCCTTTGCCTCTGAGTGCTGGGATTAAAGCTGCACACTGCCACCCTTGGCAACCTTGAACTTCTGATCCTCCTGTCTCTACCTTGCCAACGCTGGGATTACAGGCTTGAGCCATCACCATTTGTGATGGTCTGAATGAGGATGGCCCTACGGGTCTATGTATTTGAATACCTGATTCCTAGTTGGTAGAACTGTTTAGAAAGGATTAGGACATATGGACTGGTTGGAGGAGGTGTGTCAGTGGGTCAGGCTTTGAGGCTTAAAAAGCCCATGCCATTCCCAGTTGGCTTTTGAATACGGATGTGAAGCTCTCAGCTACTGCTCCAATGCCATGTCTGCCTGCCTGGTGCCATGCTCTCTGTTAGGATGGTCACAGACTCTAGCCCTCTGGAGCCAAGAGCCCCAAATCAAACACTCTTTTATAAGCTGCCTTAGTCATGGCGTTTTGTTTTGTTTTTAAAGATTGATTTATTTATTGGGTATACAGTGTTCTGCCTGCACGTGTCCTTGCAGGCCAGAAGAGGGCACCAGAGCTCATTACAGGTTGTTGTGAGTCACCACGTGGGTCCCAGGAATTGAACTCAGGACCTCTGGAAGAGCAGTCAGTGCTCTTCACCACTGAGCCATCTCTCCAGCCACAGTCATGGTGTTTTATCACAGCAATAGAAAGGTAACTAAAACACTGTGCTAGGCCTCAATTTTACATATTAAGAGTTTGTAAAGAATTTATGTGTAATGTGTACCATTGTCTGTATGTGTAACATGTATGTGTGCAGTACCTACAGAGGTCAGAGGAGGGCGCCAGATTCCTTAGAACTGGAGTTACAGGCAGTTGTGAGATGCTAGGTGGGGTGCTAGGGAACTGAACCTGGGTCTTCTGCAAGAAGAACAAGTGATCCTAACCACTGAGGCATCTCTGCAGTATCAAGTTTACTTTCGTCTTTTGTTTTAATTTTTTTTTTATTTTTGTTTTTCTTTCTTTTCTTTTTATTTATTCATTTTTGGTTTTTCAAGACAGGGTTTCTCTGTGTGGCCCTGGCTGTCCTGGAACATGCTCTGTAGACCAGGCTGTCTTTGAACTCAGAGATCTGCTTGCCTCTGCCTCCCGAGTTCTGGGATTAAAGTTGTGCATCACACTGCCCAGCTAAGTCTACACATATTTTAATGAAGCCATTTTTGGGGGGTTCAGAGGGGTGGGGAGTGTTTTTTTTTCCAAGTTGCCTGCTCCATGCAGACTTTTACCCCACTTCCTGTTTTCCAGCCATGTTGAGGGGGGGTGGGGAGGTGAATGGTCTGTATCTGTGCTTCTTCTCTGCTCCCACACCACAACCAATGCAGAAGACAGGTGATGTCAGGTAGTCACAGGGAAACCCCCGGTAGCCTGAAAGCAATTCTATAACTCTATAACGTCAGGCACAGTTGAGCACGCTCCAACCCCATTTCTATCTCCCTAGAGACAGCGGCAGATTGTACAGTTTGGGGGTGCTACTCCAATACTATTGCCAGTTGCCAGCCTAGGCTTGTGCTTCTGACCACCCAATGGGGGGTGCAGGGAGGCACCAAAAACAACCAAGGAGCATCAGCAGGGCTGTGGAGAACCTGGAATCCTGGCACACTGTTAATGGAAATGCAAAGTGGTGCCGCCATTATGAAAAACAGTGTGATAGTCCCTATAGACAAAAATAGAGCTGGTTTCTGATTCCACTTCTGAATATTTATCTGAAAGGTGGGAAGTCAGATCTTGAAGAGAAATCTGCTCTCCCGTGTTCGCTGTGACGCACGTAACAGCAGTCAAAATGTGGAAACGGTGAGAGGTGAAATGGATTTTTAAAAATGTGGTATATCCATGCAATAGAATATGGCTCTGCCTCGAAGAAGGGAATTCTGACATTTGCTTATGTGGACGAATTCTGCGGCGGAGTGCCTGCATCCTATACAAAGCCTTGAGTTTGCCGGCGAGACTAAAAGAGGGGAGAAGAGAAACTGGAGAGCGACCCTGTGCAAAGCTCAGGACAGCGCGTGCCTTTGGAAAACCTTCATCTAGACTTTCACAGCTGCTCGGGTGCTCGTTCTCAGCCATCTTCCTCCCTTCTGTGCTCCAGCCACTCCGCATACCTCCGTTTTGTCTTACAAACTCACACTGGGCATACAGCTCAGAGGCTGTCCTTGCGTAGCTTACCTGCTTCTCTTGGAGTCCTGGAAAGGAGGCCCCCTTGAACCCTGGCCAAACCTACCCAGCTTCCCCTGGCAGCCCACAAAGGCTCATGGGTATCCTTTCTTGAATGAAGGCATGAAGGAGGCCTCCCCACCCCCACCCCCAGGCCAGCATCTCTTCCATCTAGCCTGCCACGTCCAGCTGGAGAGATTGATGGGAGGTGGGACCAGAGCCCTCTCTCTGTCTATATTCCCAGCCCCCTGCTGGGACTGAGGCCCTGGGGTCATGTAGCTGCTTCAGACCCAGTCTGGGCCTGATTCTCCCTTTGCCCAGCACCTTCCCAGACTCCAAGGCAGGTGGGGGGTGTGGGAAGCCTAGGGGAGAAGGGAGGCAGGGGCAGGACACTCACCAACGCCGCTGGCCTCGCTCCTCAGCTTCCACAAGCTCCCTCCACAGTTGGTCCTGCTGCACACCCAGGACTGCGGTACCCTGGCAACCACCAGCAAGACCCCTGCTTGCTGCGAGGCCATCTTGGGCCCTGGAAACTGAGGTAAGAGGCCTGGTAGGGGGCAATCGGTACCCGGATGATGTGGTTTTGGGGAGCCCAGCGTGTTGGCTGTCCATGGGGGACTGGAAAGGGCAGGAGAGGGAAAGAAGAGAGAAAAGAGAGAGACTGATGGAGACTCTCGTCTTAACCCAGGAAAGCCTGCACAAGGTCCCTCTACATCGTCCCCGACCGGATCCAGAGCTCAGAGTGACTGAAGGGACAGAAACTCTCCAGGCTGGGGCAGCATCTGCGCCCAGCTGTGTTTTCCGGTCCTGCCTGTTGTTGACTGTCGCCCAGGGAACAGGCGGCTCCCGAGTGCACACGGGAAGGGGCGGACCCCGCTGAGTGCTTGCTGAGGACATCTGAGCCCCTCGGTGGGGTGTTGACTGTCTTGTGCTTTGCCAAGCTCCTCCCCTGAACCGGAGGGCGGGACAGTGTCGCTGGGTCCCCAGTAGGCAGTGCTCCGGAGAGCTGCGTGGGCAGGTGAGCGGGAGCACGATCCTGTGCTGCCTCCTGGTGGACACCGCAGGCTCCCAGGGGAGGCGGCCCCTTGACTGACAGGCCAAGGGAGGTGAGGCGAGGGGGCAGGGAGACATCTTATCAATTGTCTTAGTTAGGATTTCTATTGCTGCGATTAAACACCATATCCAAAGTAACTTGAGGAGGAAAGGGTTTATTTGGCTTACACGTCCACATTCTAGTCCATCACTGAAGGAAGTCAGGATAGGAGCTGATGCAGAGGCCATGGAGAGGGGCTTGCTCAGCCTTCTTTCTTATAGAACCCAGGACCAGCAGCCCAGGGCTGGCACCACCCACCATGGGCTGGGCCCTCCCTCATCAATCACTGATTAAGAAAATGCCCTACAGCTGGATCTTATGGAGGCATTTTTCTCATTAGAGGTTCCCTCCTTTCAGATGACTCTAGCTTGTGTCAAATTGACATAAAACTAGCCAGGACACCAGTGTATGTTCCTCCTGAAAGCCCAGAGAGCCCACAGAGCCCTGTCATTGATCTGGCCAACCACCCTGGGGCAGCATTTGTAGGCATATGCTCTACCACTGAGTCACACTCCAGTCCAGAAGGAAGGCTTTCCAAAGCCCAGTCTGCAGGTAAGAATCCAACAGCGATGGTCCAGGTGGCCTTGAGTTTAGCTCGTCATAAAAGGAACACTGAGGACTTAAGGGTAGGAGTCCTGGTGTGGATCCCGCTTCAGTTTCTCCTCTTACCCCAAGAAGTCCAGCTTCCTCAGTGGCATCAGTAGCTTTTTTTTCCAACTCAGCCACACTCAGACACTTCCATCACTTCTGGTCCAGGCATGGTGCCCTTCTTCCTCACCGCCATGGTGCTTCCTGGAAGGGTTTGTTGATAGACCCCTCATTCCTTCCCTGATACTCCGTGCCTGACTCCTGCTAGGCAAGGTGCTCCTTCCTTGCACCGCCTGGAGAGAACAGAAACAACCAAGTGTAAACAGAGGTGCCGAAGTGGAGGGATGCTTTGGTGCCTGGGGCTCAGCCAAGAGGTGGCGCCTGGATGACTCTCCTAGCTTCAGCTCGGATGCTGTGGAGCAGCTTCTTCTAGGGTCGGCAAGCTCCTTAAGACAGAAAGTAAACAACTCAAAATAGCTCCAGGAAGTCCCTGAGACTGACCAGATTCACTAGGCTCCGCCTTTCCCAACAGTAAACAGTAGCGGGTGCTGAGAGGATCCACTCTCAGAGGAGCCAAGCTGCAAAGGAGACTCTGAGACCAGTCAAGTGGCCTGGAAGGAACCAGAGGCCACCAGAGCTGCCTGAAAGAGGCACGGACCAACCGAGCCACCTGGAATACACACTCTCCAACCTGCTGAGCTGCCTGCAGGCTGTGCGGTGGGCTGCAGGCTCCCAGCTTTTGCGAGCTGTCATTTGTGCTGGGGTGGGCTTCGGTGATGCAGCTGTCTTTGAATCACTCTCTCTGTGAGTAACCCCTCACCCATGTCCCCTTAAATAACCCCACTAAAACTCAGCGGTTCACCTAGTTAGGCTTTTAATGGTATCCATACTTTGGTCTGTTGTGGGCTTCCAGTCTGGGGTGAACAGACGTGTTGCGGTAGTTTGAATGTCATCGGCCACCGTAAACGCATAGGGAGTGGTGCTATTAGGAGGCGTGGCCTTGTTGGAGGAGGTTGGTTGTGGTGGGGGTGGGCTCTGAGGTCTCCTATGCTCAAGCTATGCCCAGTGTCACAGTCTGCTTCCTGTTGCCTGCAGGACCTAGGACTCTCAGCTCCTTCTCCAGCACCACGTCTGCCTGCACGCTGCCATGTCCCACCATGATGATAATGGATGGAACCTCTGAAACTGTAAGTCACCCAATTAAATGTTTTCCTTTGGAAGAGTTGCTGTGGTCATGGTGTCTCTTCACAGCACTAGAAACCCTAAGACAAGTGTGTTGCATCTCCCCGGGAAAAGTTCGTTATGAAAGAGGTAGCTAGGGTTTGGTCTTCACAGATGAGAAGAATTTTGCCCATAACCAAACTGGGGAGTGTAAAATCTTAGAGACAAGCGAGAGAAGAGAGAGGAGGAGGCACAGTCCGGACCTGGAGGTCGGATGCGGATCCAGCCACATACAGGGATGTTTTGGAGTTTATTCTGCACAGAGGGGGTGCTGATGAGTTGTAAGCATCAAAGTGAATGCAGAGTTGGAACCGCCAGGACAGGGACAAGAGACAAGTGAGGCTGTCATCGCTGTGACCCCTCGGAAGGGTGGCGCTGAAGCCGTGGTGGGCTCTGGCTGAGATCAATGTAGGGGAGGCCCAGTGGGCCAGGGCAGGAAGTGAAGGACTCCAGCCAACCGGGGCCAGGCAAACATGGCTCTGGCAGGCCTTGTCCTTCTCCCCGATACCCTCTGCCTTGCTAAAATCTCTTAGATTCCCTGTTTGGCTGCTTCCTCCTGGGGCTGACTATCAACGTCAGCTGTCAGACTATTGAGGTCCAGCAATCAGAAGCTCTCCGTTGGCTCACCTAACTAACACGCTCAATTAAAATTGGACACCTCATCCTAACACTGGATGTCCCCTTCCCCCTTATCAACTGCCATTTTCCTACGGGCCACATCTGTCTCCTCTCTATCCAGAGGCAGTCCTTTGTCCCACCGGGACAAATATCCCTCCCCACTGTCCCTTGTTCCCTTTCTGTTTGCCCTCATCCTCTATCTCTTGTCTCTGTCCCTTATCCCTGCCCTCTGTCCCTTTGGGGCAAATAAATCTTTGTGCTGAGAATGTGGTCTTGGGGGTCCTGGGTTGTACTTTTCCTTTCGGGAAGGATCTTACACATCATCTTTTGGTGTTGGCATGAGGAAGGGACTGAGGTGAGTGTGGTGTTCTGGGGAGCACGGTGTAGGGTAAAAAGCCTGAGCTCAGTTCTGGGGCTTGAAATCCCACCAATTCCTGAGCTCAAAATCCAACCAATCCCCTAACTCACCTCAAGCTCAGGATTTGAAATCCTACCAATTCCTACCCTGGAAATCTCCACCCTGGAAAAAATTCTCCCTGAAGAAACCCTGTATAAACCTGCCTCCCACTCAGTTCTCTACTGCTTCTCTCCTGAGCAGAGGCAGCCACCTCCACCCCCCACCGCCCGGTGTTTTTCCCAATAAACCTTGTGTGAGGTTTGTTGTGCGGTGTGGCTTTGTGGTATTTCTTGGCTCCGGACCGCCAGGATCCCTTTCCTCTCAGAGTTGTGACGTTTACACATGAGTTTAAATGGAGTGATGTGGGGGCTGGAGAGATGGCTCAGAGGTTAAGAGCACTGGCTGTTTTTCCAGAGGTCCTGAGTTCAATTCCCAGCAACCACATGGTGGCTCACAACCATCTGTAATGAGATCTGGTGCCCTCTTCTGGCCTGCAGGGATATGTGCAGGCAGAACACTGTATAGATAATAAATACATCTTAAAAAAAAAAGTGGAGTGATGAGTTGTGACACTTCCTCCTGCCGTTTGTCTTTGCTCCAGTAACTGCACAGGTTTCCGTGGATGCTTTGAGTCTAGGGTGGCAGCTGTGTCCTTACATAGTGTTGTGAGGATGGGTCCTCACCATGTTAGATGTCAGAGTGCATCTGGGAACCGCATGTTCCACAGCGGCTCGACTTCCTTGCAGCCCGGGAGCTTCTTTCTTCCTTCCTTTCTTTCTTTCATTCTTTCTTTGGAGACAAGGTTTTTCTGCGTAGCCCTGGCTGTCCTGGAACTTCTTCTGTATCCCAGGCTGGCCTCAAACTCGGAGACAGAGGATTTTTTTTCTTTCTTGGAGAGAATGGAAGCTGTTGCTCCCCAGAAGGTCCTCTCTGTGTGCGGAGGGAAGTCCTTAGGCTGACGTGGGCCATGGCACTCAGCAGTTAGGGCAGCGAATTTGCTCGGATGCTTCAGCCCTGGTCCCTTCGCCATGTTCTCTAGTGACAGGAAGTGCAGCAGTTCACACTAAAGTGGCTGGTCAGACATTTAGACTCGCTCTCACGGCCAGGTTGCTAGTGAGTATGGAGGCTGAATATTTCCATGGAAGTTGGTTGTTTAAAGATAGCGTTTAAAGCCAAGGAATACACTTTTTTTTTTGGTTTTTCGAGACAGGGTTTCTCTGTGTAGCTTTGCGCCTTTCCTGGAACTTGCTTTGGAAACCAGGCTGGCCTCGAACTCACAGAGATCTGCCTGCCTCTGCCTCCCCAGTGCTGGGATTAAAGGTGTGCGCCACCACCGCCTGGCAAGGAATACACTCTTAAGCCAGCTAATGGGTTCTCCTCTGAGCTGATCACTGAGGTGTGAAGTGAGACACCAGCTGTTTTACTGTTCAATTCCTTTGCTTTCAACATGATTGCTTTTTGAGTGGAATTGCTGTGTTCCTGGCTTCCTGATGGCTGATTGTGGCCCCATGGAACCCAAGGGCACTGTGTCTTCTGTGATTAGCTCTGGACATGGTAAGATCTGAGGAGTCGGGAGGCCACTTGCCCTGAGATGCCCAGTGCCAGCTGTGGAAAATTCATCCTAGGGTCATGTTAGTAAGAGTCAAAGGCCAGGTGAAGAGGGCTCACTAGAGTCTCCTCTAAGACACACAGAACGAACCCAACTTGGGAGTTTTAGCTGTTTCTAAAGTCTATTGGAAGAGTTCCCAGATGTACGCTTATTAGCTCTGAGCAAACACCCACAGCTTCCTGGGAGCCTGGGCCGGGGCCAGGCCAGAGCTGGCTTGAAGCCTTCTACATGGATGGGGAACACATTAACATGTCTGTTCTCAAGTGGTGCTCTTTGTTAAGTTTATATTTCTTTATTATTTATTTGTTTGGGATGTAAGCACGCACATGCCACAGTCGGTATGAGGAATCATAGCAGAGCTTCAAGCACAT